GATACCGGGTTGACTCTGTTTGCTGTATCGAACGAAATTTCTTGAGAAAGGAATAGCGAGCGTTGTAGGAGGTCATTGTGATTCCAAAAAAAACTGCGCTTTCAAACCGCTAAGCGAATATCAATGTAGTATCGTGCAACATGCGTCCAAAGACATTGGAACTAACTCGCGATTGGATTCAACGCTCACCTTGAACTGCATAAGTCCCTTCAACACTCATGCCCTCCTTTTTCTTGCCGAAAGCTTTCAACTTGTCCTTCAAGCTCGCGCTGAATTTCCTAGTCATACTCCCACCGGCTCTCTCCACCTTACCCACCAGATTCTTCACACTGTCCTTTCCCTCCGTGATGACGGGCGCGACACCAGTAGAAATACTTCTCTTGAGATCCGAGCCTATAGAAGTCACCGCTTTGACCTTCAACTTCTCCCAGCTGCCGGTTCTGCCATGCGATTGATAGCCACGCGCTTGGTAGCCGTAACCATGCGTTTGATATCGATGCTTTTTGACTTTAGGTCGTTGCTTGGGCGTCGAATGATAGGGGTTTGGTGTGAAGGTGCTGCAGGTAGGATATGAAGATGGCCATCGCGATGGTAGTGACATGTGGTGCGGTTCCGGCGCATGCGTTGGATGCAGAGCCGAAGAAGATGTAGGGGCCCAGGACGATCGGTTCGACATAGCGGTTTCAGGCCTGAGGTGCTGATTCGTGATGGAATTGCGTGAGAACGCTCTTGATATCGCCGGTCTCTCCAAATCTTCTCCAGGTATTGGCACGATTGCCCTTCCGTAAGGAGACGATTCAATGTCCAAGTCAAAGACCCGTCCTTGCCTCCTCTCTTGCCTTGCCTCGAAGCTTCCCCGTTCATCTGTAACACGCCTCATGCTTAGCTTGCGCCTGAACTTGTCGATACTACCCACTCGGCTGCGGATACTGCCATACTTGCTGTCTTGCTTTCCTAGACGTCGTCCTTCACCATGCACGTCGCGAGTTGCTTGTTCCTGGCGAGCAAGGAAGTCCTCGATCCACTCTTTTGAGCTTTCATCGGTGGCAGAAGGCTGAACCCATTCGCTCGATCTCGCCCAGTCATGTAAATACACTCTTTCGGTGGACTTCGAACGGATGTTACTGTTCAACCTTGAATGAGCTTCATAAACTCCACCGCTCAATGGCACATTGGATATAGACTCTGGAGTACCGGTCGGAGTTGCGTCACTACTTGTACGGCTGGGCCACGTCATTCTCAATGAGTTACGCAGACTGGCGACTTCATGGAGTCTTGCATCTAGCTCGCCGATAGACTGCATGCTTTGGAGCTGGGAGGATGGATGAATGTGTATAGGTCCAGGCTCTGTGTGTGACTTCGCAGAGACTAGGGAATTCATTGTCGATGCGCGCGAGGAAGGCCTACTTAGAGGCGAGCATGGATGAATAGTATCCTCCTCGGTGTCGTTGATCAACGTGGTGGTTCTCAGAGGAGGTGCAGATACTGGGCGATAAAACGGTGGTTTAGGTTCGATAATCGGAGTCAGCTCGTTCTGCGACGACTTCGGCAGAGGCTTGCGGCGAGGCATGGTGAGGGCATGGCTCTGGTGTACGGCATCTGTCACATTCAAGAATTGAAGTTTCGGAACAGCCGGGTATGTGGGCACTCCTGAGGTAGTTGAGTCGTCGTGCATTCGTATAACTTTTTGCTGGTTTGCCACAGACGGCGTCGAGGAAGAATCAGTCGTGTTGTATGAACTTTCGGCGCACGCGGGAAGCTGATCAGACGGCGTTTTGGAACGTTTCGAATCTCTAGAGATGTATCTGTCCTCGATGATTTGCGTATCTTCTGGAGATGGTAAGTCTCTCGCTTCTGTCGTGGCAGTACGTGTACCGTTCCTTTGCCTGTACATATGTTAGTGGGGCTCGACGTTGCATCTTGGGTTGCGCACTCAGACTTGGCCTGTCTCGACATTTGCACGGCTTTCAGCAAGACACCCGCGCCGTTGTCATGGTCCGAGGCATGTGCAATGTTCGCGGCATCGCCGGCCTCCATGATGATGGTTGTTTGTTGGAGGAGAGCAAGATTTACATTCTCGCAACGGACCCCAGGAAAAGCTCGTACGTCAATGAGCATCGTGTACTGGCAGTCCCACGATTGGCGACAACCGGATCCACCCGTGCCCGCGGTATCGTCGGTCAATTACTCGTAGCTGATGTGCAAACTCAGATCGCTTATGGGCTTGAGGGGAAGCGATCAGGGTCTATGACAGTCGTTTTCGGATCGAATATCCCATGGTTACCGCGGAGCGGGGTTCGACTGCGATGCGAGTCTGGTACTGATTGCGGAAGACCCTGCATCGCCTCGTCGCCTTTTGCGCTGCCGTCCTCGGATTCCGCACTGTGATAAACTCTGCACCATTGATTTTTTGTGTGTAAACCTTCGTCTACAGAGATACAATCAATCGGTGCAATCTTGTTGCTGTGGTGCAGTTCAAGATGTGTTGGTAAGCAATCAAAGATGAGAAGGAAACCCCCATATGAGCTCGGTTGTGCCTATCGGAGTGCTAGTGGAAGTCATGAAATATGGGATGATCAAAAGTGAACGCAGATGTGGAAGGTGCAGCGGGGTTATGGAAAGACATCGTGTCGGATTGGGGGTGTGGAAAAGAGCGTACCGTGGCACCCACCATTCTGTACCAACACTATCTACTTTACGCATGGGCGATAACGGAGAATGCGGGGCAACGACTGAGTTCTTGTACAGCTATGAGTGCGGGGCAATCATCGCGATCTGTCCGTGTTACTGAAGTGTGGTTACGAAAGTCAAGCTTCAACGTTCAAAAGTGCAGAGGGAGGAATATTAGTACCTACATAGCTAGGTATTGCGCTAGCCAACACGTGCTCGTCACGTGTGACCTTCAATGCAGAAACAGAATTTGGGAATGTCTGAGAATACGCTCATGAAGATTCCCGCCATCAAGGAAGAAAGCACACACAGATGCAGCCATAGCCTTACTGCTCCATCGCAATACTGCGCTCGTAGAGATCAGACACTACCAGCAGATTAGTTCATGCCATTCCACGCGGTTTCGGAAAGAACTTACGAGTCTGTCCGTCCAAGAAGAACCCCTCCAGATTCTTCGCCACTCGCTCATATCTAGCCAAGTCATCTTCATTAAGAATCACATTGACCTTGGCTCTGATACCCCGAACATGCGCCATGAACTTGAGGAAGTTCCCTGTTAGGCGGTCTACAAGGACAACCTCCATGTCACCACCCTTCAGCGGTCGGTTGTCAAGACGCATTACATACGTTGGCTCGTTCTCTTGGATGGCCTTTTGAAATCGCTCGGAGTGCTGGTAGAGGAAGGCCACGTGATCCGCGATATCCTCCCAGAAGCCGATGAGCGAGAGAAGCGCAACGCGACACGCTGCCGAATGGTGGACATCGATGGACTGGTGGCCGGGAAGACCACAGACACGACAGCCACCGTATGTAGGACGCGCCAATAGATTGAAGCGGTCGGGGTTTTGTGGAACTTGCTTTGTGCCGGCTGGAGTCAGCTCGCGAACGGCTACTGAGAGCTTCGTGAGCGTTTCGCGAACATAGTCGGCATCATTCGACGTTGGAGATGACATAGTGATTGGGTGCTGTGTGTTAGTGTTGCGTTGTTTGGAGACAGGAAAATCTTGTAAGAGTAATCTGCAGGTCAGTGCTTGCGAGGATCGCTGAAGTTGAGGCCGGTGATAGAGGGGGAAAAGTGCGGTTGTATGAGTAGACGGTGGACGAAGAAGGTTCGATGCAAGACACTGGGGTAGTCACGATCTCACCGCTAACAGTGAGAGAAGGCACGTGCCGGCCAAGGCAGCAGTCACACACCTGCAGATTGTTTTCTCACGGATCAAGAGACCATAGTGAATCATGTCGCCTCATGAGCATGTGCATGAAGCGTAGAATAGAACAGTTGCTCAAACCCCAGGCGTAAGACCCTCAGGGTACTTTATTGGTATAATACCAGCCGAGGTCACCACCAAGCGGTGCATGTGCGATAAGGCGATTCACTCAGTGTGAATAGGAAGCCTACTACATCTGTCCCGCCATAGCAGGGCTACCGTGGCGTTGATCAAGGTGATCGTAGTTGAGGTCGAACTCTTTCTATACTCGCGTTAGTGTCTAGTACGTCGTTCATAGGACGTGCATTGACAGAGCGGAACACATACCCTTTCTCTCCTCCAGTTCTTAACATCGAAGAATAGATACCATCCGTGTTCCTCTTTTGGCGAAATCCTGATAGGCGCCGCGAGATCTGGATCCTTCATCATCCACTGCTGGAGCTTCATGTGCCACCGCCAATCGCGGTTGTATAGCTCTTGTGCAGCAATTTCTTGCAAGATATCTCTCGGGAATTGATAGAAGATAGCTAATAGTGTCTCGGCGGAGAAGCTGGCCATTTTCGAATGCAGTGGTGGAACATTTGTTACAGTGTACGCCGCCGGTAGAGTGAAATCTGGTGGAATTACTGGCTTGACGTTGGATTCCACGAAAGGTGAACCAAACGTAGGATGTAATGGAGAATTACTAAGAAACCCATTAGCAAATGTGTTGAGAGGGCAAGGGAACGCGTACTCTGGCCGGCTCAGATCGAGGCCCAGAACTGTCAGATCTTGGCCCATAGCCAGCGAGGAATAGTCGGGGCTGTCCATAGGAATCATGGACAGAAGTCCAGGTAAACCGTATCTTTCCGAGTCCGTCATGTCCGAGAGCTTCTTGTGTAGCATATTTTGCGCGTTCGGGGAGCCGAGAACGTCAGACCCAAATGTTTGCTCGAACTGATTCTGCTGCTGCCGTTGACCGCCCGGGGCGAGATCAGCACCACCCCGCATGCTTGTCTGAGGACCTAGGGAGAACATGTTCCCTTGCTGCCCTATCCGTTGGTTTCCCTACATGGTGTGAACTATGGTACAGCAGAGTTGCATGTGGTACGTACATCTGCTTGGTTGCCTGTCCGCATGTTCTCAAATGGTGTCCGTGATGCTATCATCGTCAGTGGCTGATGTGATGGCTGAGACCTCTTGCTTACATGTACCTGGCGGTGCCCTGCCACCCACAGTGGGGTTGATGCTCCGGTCTTGCTGGCTATCTGTCGGGCTTGAGAGGCCGTTCCGTGTTTGTCCGAGCCCAGGAAAGGCGCTGTTTCCATTCGCACCGAATGCCGCTGCGTTCTGTATCAGGCCAGCTCTTCGATCTTGTGGAATATCTCCGCCAGCGCCCCCTAATGGAGGGAACTCCTCGATGTTGCCTGTCTGCGGCTGAACACCCCCCAACTGTCCGACACCCCCTTGTCCTCCAAAACGATAATCATCCCCAGCACCAGAGAACTGGCTTTGGGATGAATCATCCTGTCCCTGGTTCTGCTGTTGTTGATTCGTAGCCTGTGTTGCCTGCCCTTGGCCCTGCTGTTGACCTTGGCCTTGCGGACGTCCGATCGTGTTTTGCTGGGCTTGCTGGGTGGTTCGTAGGGTGGGGTTCGACCACATCTGCTGCGCGGTAGTGTTCTGCTGCGCTTGCGGCGCGCCCGACAGCGAAGGGAATTCCCTATGGTCATCAACATTTAGCTTGTGTCTCTCAACGTCCTTCAGATTCCCAGAATCGAGCTGTGGAGTCTTTTTTCGGTACTCTCCTTTCTTTCGTTTCGGAGGCATTTCGTGTGTTGACTTACTCAAGATTCAGCGGCGTATGTGGCTGCGAGCCGCCCATTGCTTGCGCGAAGCTTGACATGGCCCCGCCGTTTGTTCGTGTTTGCGCATTCGATAGGCCTGGCGCACCCATTGGAGCTCCAAACCCCCATTGAGACGCAGCACCTACAGAGACAGCAATCAGCGATATAGCCCAAACTCGCTCTGGGGTTGTCCTCACCCATCTTGCCATTCTGCAACCTATTCGCACCGAGTGGGGCACCGCGGCCCGGATTTTGTTGCGCTTGAAACATGTTGGGGCGTATGTTTTGTAGGAATGATGCGCCCTAGCCTACACGAGAAGGGTAGTTAGTATTGTTTGATTTGGGAGTAGGTACTTGGGCGAGCGAATGGCAAGGCTGCGGCGAAGCAGTCGAGGAAGGCGCGTAGTGAATACGGCTGTGTAAAGGGATCGTGATCGTTGTAGGGTTGTTATTCGGGCGCGTTCGATGTCGTAGTCGTGGGTGGCTCCGTTGCGATGTGCGGCGTGGTGCGATTCCGATTCGACCTTGGGGTTTATGCGGGCAACAGAAGGAATGGGTGCACTTCGAGGGCTTGGAGAGAGAGCATTTACGAACCTGGTAATAGAGTCGTGATCTGGCCTTGGGCGGCTAGTGTACGTCGAGCTCACGGTGTTGTTGTATCAGTCTCGCGTACTTAGGTACGTGAAGTTGCGAGGTTCCCGAAACCGAAGTGGTGCTAACCTAATCGGGCCTGCACAGGCTTATGACGCGGGGAGCCAACCGGCCCACGGGTGGATCTTCCGTTGAAATGGAGAGCTTCGGACTGCTTAGCATTGAAGACTGCGCAGACTCGTAATTTCGATACAGATGCGATAAGCACGTAAGAAAGAATGAGAGCATGAACCCGGATTAGATGTCTTCTATGGCAACAATCAGCAACGTATCCCAACAGTAGGCACATTGATGAATTCTAGCGAAGGCCTCACAAGGCATTGGATTGGAACATCTTGACGTGAACATCCTAAGGTCGTCAATATCTGTCCATAATTGCCTTCAGTCACAAATGTGTATCGTGAAATTCGTCCAAGCACGCGAGTATTTTGCATTGATGGTAGCTTATCGTGAAGACGACACAAAGAAGTAGTATGCCGAAAAGTGTTGTCCTGTAGTATGCCAAATCATCTTCCTTTGTACGCGGGACGTACAGGACCCACACGCTGCTACCTCGAACCTTTTGAAGAGACATGCATCCATGCAACAACTGAATCCACGCTACTGATACGCTTACACGCGGAGTAAAACTTTAACAACAAAGCTATCGAACAATCACAGAAGCAAACGCTTGTGAGTCTAAGCAGGGCCTTGCTGGAATAGATGTGACATGTCGGCTTCACCGTTGATGCCGAAGAAGTTGAACCTGGGACAGAGATTTAGTGACTGCTTTCGGACAGAATCGCAACTTCGACTTACCAGTCATCGACATTCAAGCTCATAGGCACGATGGGGTTGGGCCGACCTCCGGAACTTTGACTCCAAGCATCATCCTGTGCGCCATGCTGTTGTTGGTTTTGCGACATCATCTCCATCTGTTGCTGCCAGGCCTGAGTGTTATTATGCTCGTACCCGCTGGAGATACCCGGATTTGACGGTGGGTTCTGCATCTGTGACTGGCCCCCAGAAGTCTGTTGAGAGGGCATGGCAATGTTTTGAGGTTGGCTCAAGGCAGGATCTACAAGGCTGTGGTTTTGCATGGGTGACATCTGGGGAAAGTTGACTTGTGTGTCGGCAGGGAACAGCTGATCGGGCTGGAAGTTCTGCCACACTTCTTGGCTAATATTAGGGGTATCACGGGTCACCAGGAAAAGATCCGGTGGCGTTCCTGGATACGAGTATGAAGGATTGAACGGGGTCGTAGGACGCGTTCCTGACCGTGAAGGGCCCATGAATGCGTCGTGATTCTGCCGATTCATCTGCGGAGATCCAGTAGTCATCTGGGGCATCTGCTGTTGGGGTTGCAGCTCGCGCGAAGGTGTGACGGCAGGAGTCTGCGGTCTGGACCGCTCATAGGAGACCTGGGCAGATGGCGGCCCACTTGGAACAGGGAAGCCTAGATCCATGTCATCGAATTTTCGTTTCGAGGATTCCTGGGCAGGCTTAGGTGGCGGTGGTGGTGGGACCGAAGGGACCTTGTTTTTCTTGTGGTTGCGGCCGGCAGCTTTCTGCAGACGTTCTTCAAGGTGCTTGTTTCCAAGAATCGATTCGAAGAGAGTATGCACCATCTTTGCGACAAGCCACACCTTGGAGACCTCTTTAAGAGCGTCCAAACAGATCTGTAGTCGTTGCTCAGTCGCTGAGACGACAGACTTGTTAGACGACTTCATCTGGTACACGTGCATGATGAGAGCGGAGAACAAGCTGTAGACGATGAAAGCCGGAGTATACCGAATTTCATCATGAGCTCTGAGGTTTTCAATAATGGATGTGATCATGGCGGCTGCTTGGTACGCGATATTCCGTGATGGGTAGGCGTTGGCTTCACCAAAACCGTCAAGATGAGTGGCTTTTGGTGAGCCTGCTGGTGGCATGTGTGCGCGATGCAGGAGACATAAAGTGGTGCTGCGAGCGTTAGTCTACGTCAGAGTCAGAAGATGCATAGACGTACTAGTAATTTGAATGTAACAAGGCAGCCCAGAAATGATGGCGATTTCGCTCCCACTGCACTTCCGGTGGACAATGTTGCAGCCAGTCGGCAAGGGCCATGTCGCTGTGTGTCAGGTCTATGGCATTCGCCCTGCGGTGTTTCGACGCTACCGAGTATTGTTGTGATAGGACCAAGCCCATGATCTCGCTAAGCTTGACATAGTTGATGAAGAACTGAACATGGATCGGATCTGGTGGGTATTCTGCGGCGTGCTCTGTCTCGTCGTCGATGAAGTCATCTTCAGACACCATCTCGACGTCGGAATCTTCAGGGTCGATGGCAACCGGCCGGCCGAGTGCGACTGCCACTGAACGGTCCCGGCTGTACAGTGTCCACCAGATACGCTTCCACAGGCGCTTGTCGGAGCGTGTGAGCTGCGATCCTTCAACGCTGCGGTGCATGCCCGAACCCTGAGCTACTACGATAGCGACTCGGGTCCAGTAGAAAACGTTCTTGGTCACGTCCTCGGGTCCCTCCCAGTACCAGCCCATCAAGATAAGGGCTTGCACAATGGTCACGCGATCGTCTTCGAAGTTGGCATCGTATAGCGCCTTTGCGCGCTTATAGAACGTCATGGCGGCGGGGGTGGTTGAGCCACTGGAGTCCATCAACTGCGCATTGGTACACACGCGTGAGCCTGCCAGGAGTATGGCCTGCAGTAGCAGGAGCGAGGGCGGGTTCTTGGGGTCTCGATACTGGCGCATGAAGCGGCTGCGATTGATGACTGGCACGACCGGGGCCACCCATCTGAAGAAGGCTTCGACAAGCTCGTCGCACAATGCCCGTGGTGGGAGCAGGAAGGCGCCTCGCTGATGCAGTATCTCAATCTCCATGTTGTCCATCTCATTGACCCGCGCCTTCGCGCCCCGCACGTTCTCGGGCAGCGGGTAGTGGACGACATCGGTGGTGCCATAGCGGTCGTGCACAAGCAGCGACAGGTTGGAGGACTCCCCGAGGTAGGCGACGCGGCCGGCTTCTTTGATGGGGGCGCGCGCAAACTTGGGCTTCATGAACTGCACGTAGGTGCCATTGTGGGTAGCCTGCTGGGCGGCGTATTCGGGCGAGACGGTGGTGGAGGGGGTCCCATCCTGGGTGTTGTATGCGGTCGACTTCTCGCGGGGCTCAGCTGAGGTGCTGGCGGGCGAGCGGTCGTCGCTGTCGCCGCGGTCACTGCTGTCGCGTCAATACCGTCCATTGATGATACCTTTGCGTGAGTCGCGAGCGCGTACCTCTCTGCATCCTTGGCCCGGGCCGTCTGCGTCTTCTTGCGCTTGGGCTGGGGGATGCGGCACTCGATGCCGAAGGCGGTGCAGTTGGTGCATGGGATCCCCAATGAGGCGGCGTCGCATCGTACCTATTGCTGGTTATGTCGCGTTCTGGCAGCACGGCGGTTCCGCGGCTGATTACTCACTTTCCTCGCGTGACAGGCTGCGATGCGTGGTGGTTAGCATTCGTTATCCAGGCCGACCGAGGTGCCGAGGCTCGCGAGCTGAACCATATATCCCACCGACCGCAATGGCTCCTCCCTCGTACCATCAGGGGCGCAGATACAGGCAAGACATGGGTCGCACTCACTTTCGCACGCCCGGCTGGCGCGTTGCCGCCGGAAAGACGGGTGTCCAGGGGGAACTGACTGCGACGACGCCGACGGCCTGGCTGGTATGAGCATGTGCTGGAGTGCTGCGCGCGACTGCAACCTACGGGGTCCCAATGCTGGGTTGCGCAGCGAGCGGCGGCGGCGCTGCTGCTGCGGGCACGGCGCTGGCCATGAAGGAGTGTTCGCCAGACATGCTGCTGTCGCTGTGCTCTTTGACGCGGTCGTCGAAGGTTGAGGTTATGATTCGTCCGCAAATGGTCGTGTTCTTTGGGGGCACGCACAGTGTGTACTAGCGCGGGCGCCGGGGTGGTACGGGAGGGTACGGCAAGGCAGTTATTACCATTGCGACACGAAACGTGCTTTTTCCTGTCGAGCAGGATATTCGCTCAGACGCCAGAAATTGCACTGCTACCTAGGCTGCTTCTGGGCCGTGTCACGTTGGCGTCGACTTTGGCTTCTTTGTTGCTCGGTTGGACGGCTGCCAACTTACCCCAGATCACGTCTCCGACCATATGGCTCGCCTCCTATTGGCGACAATCACCAGTTTCATATGCGGACCGGCGAGACAGCATGGGAAGCAACTCATTGCCGGCTCTTTGAGGAAACTCGACTTTGCGATTTGCATTCACATGCAGACTATGCTCTAAAGGGGCTGGCTTTGCTCACACGACAGCAAGTGTACTGTCAAGTCCAGCCAATACCTTAAGCATGGCCTCGGAAGTCGTCCCGCGAAGTAATCAGCTTTCCCAGATACATCAAGCGTTTCAACTCTTCCAAGTCCACGACTGCTACGCGGAACACCCTTCGCGCTTCTGTCTGAACGCTTCCAACTTGACCTCCTTATTCGCAGGACTGATGTACCTGAGCTCCACATCCCCCACCTTGTCTTTGACAACCTCATCCTCGGATGCATACAAGTACTTCTGGTGCTCGACTGGGTCTAAGACGACTGTGTCGGCGTTCTGCACTTCCATCTCAAACACCAACTTGAGCCATGTCGTGGTCCCGTCCAAGAAGGTAAAATGCGTGACTTTCCTCAGTATGCGGATCGTTTCAAGATCAGCTTCTTCTTTGAGCTCTCGAGCAGCAGCATGCAGAATTGTCTGGTCCGTATCATCGACCTTGCCTCCTGGGACCTCCTTTCTGGTGTTAGCACCGTGAGACTCGTAGCTTCCTCATTGACTCACCCAGAGATCAGGGAACGCTCTTTCCTCCGCTGCACGCTGCACGATCAGCAGCTTGCCTTCTTTGTTAAACACAATTGCGCCTGTGACGAGACAATTGTATTCGGGGTGCTGCTGGAGATAGTCCTTTTCAGATACTGCGTATTCTTGCAACGAATCTGGATAGTGGAGAGGTTTCATGATGCCACTGGAGTGTGAGTGAAGATAGGCAAGGAATGTTAGATCTGGGGCTTGTGAAGGCAGCTATGTACGCTCCAACCGTTGTTGCCTTGAGAACATCCTCAACACGTCGTGCAGGTTCAGGCTACCGCTAGATCTCAGCGAGGTACTACATAAGCATAAAATACAGTCATCGCGTTGTCTATGGGCATGCTTACAAGCCCATGTGGATGATGCGCTGACACGTGAGCCAAGTGTTCGCGCGTCTAGATCGGCGCTAGGTGGTGAATTCAATCCAGTGCGTCACAACATCGACGCGCCTCAACCCCATCCCCGTCGCACGGTCGCCGCCCGCATCAATCTGATCGCGAACACACTCACTCCCTGCGCATATTTCCTAATACCTTAACACACTCGCGCTGGCGCCTTGCTATAATGCCCCGCCCACCACGATCGAAAGTCGCGTCGCGCGTCGCGAAACCCACCAAACCGAAAGCTGCCCCCGCGCGCAAACAGGCGGCGAAACCCATCCCAGCTCAGACCAAAAAGCTCAGTGAGGCAGCCAATAGTTTCAGCGAAGACAGCGATGGCCTCGTTACCAAATCGAGAACAACGCGTTCGCGCAGGACTCTACTGGGGGAGAAGACACCGGAGGCTCAGGACGAGGCAGAGCTTACCATGACTGGCGCGCTGCCGGCTGAAGAAGACATCCCTGTGTCATCGATCAAGAACCGGACTCCTGCATCGAATGCATCCAAGCGGACGCGGGCCACAAGGAGCAGTGCCAGGAAGTCCGCAGCACACACATCGCCAACTGCCATTGAACCAGCACACGAAGAATCGCAGATAGAAGAGGATAGCGGCTATGGCGACTTGACATTCTCTTCCCTTGGCTCAAATTCACCAGCTCACGGCACCCGCCCGCCGTCTGCCATCAAAGTCGGCGCAACACCCGCACACGAGAGATCGATACTTGCTTTGACCAACTTCAAGCGCAGAGCACGGCAGCCAAGCTTGTTGCGCATGGTGCAGCAGACTACGGACGTGGAGGACAATGATCAAGACGACTTGGACAACACGGACAATTTCGACTTTGACGACTTCCTTCCCCACGCCGAATCAACACCTCTCAACGTGCGGACACATGTACCGGAGGAGGAGACACGGAATGATAGCGGCACTCAGATCTCAAGCTCCGGTTCCCGTGGTACAAAGCGCAAGCTGTCGCCTGTAGTCCAAGTACCTCGCTCGTCACCACCCGTCAGTCCACAGTCTGGCGGCGATGTGGAGTCGGAGCGGTCACACTCCCCAAGCCTACCAGAAGTACTGCCGACACGTGAGGAAGTCATCGCGCAGACACAGGAAGACGATGAACCCTTGAGCGAGACGCTTGCACCTCCCATGTCAAGTAGCCCGGAACGCGAAGTATCAAAGCCGCCTCCGACCCTAGCGCAAACGCGACCACGCAGGAGAGGACGGCAGGCCAAGACACCCGTGGTGGACGAGGACTCTGATGGCGAGGAAACAGAGACACCTGCAAGGGCTAAGCAGAGGGCTAAGAAGAAGGCACAGCAGAGCATATCCACCGCGCAACTCAAAGAATTGCTACCACGTCGGCGCAATCGCTTGCGGGATCGCGATGAGTTTGAGATCGAATCGTCGGATGATATTGAGCAAGTGGACTCGGATCAAGATGAACTACAAATGCCAACACGTCGCGTTCGTCAGAGGCAGGGGGCTGGAAAGCCGGCATCGCCAAAGGCAACAAAGAAAACAGGTCGCGCCAAGAAGACTGCACCAGCAAAACCAGCAGGGAAGTCGAGCCGAACGTACGGTCGCAGGATTTCGTCGGATAAGGAAAATGAGACAGCAGACCAGAACGAAGCAGAGACCACTGAAGTCTCAGCCATTGAGCAGTCTGAGAAGTTGGCTGCTATCAGAAAGAAGTTTGAGGAAGTAGACGCGTTTGAGCTGGAGTTTGAAGATGTGGATGCGACGACCAGCTCGAGCCCGTTCCGGTGACGGACAAGCCAGTGGGTGGGTGAGATTCGTTCTGTTCGATAGTGTGTCTTTACTGTTTCTCGTTCTGTCGACCATGACGACTGATGATGATATCCGTGGGTTTAATACACGCACATGGCGTTTGTTTGCGTGTCGCTACGCAGTAGTGTTATAGTACATGACAATGCACGATCTGTATCCAAACCATGAAGTACTGTCGTGAATGCATGGGGTGACCGAGTCAGCTCTGGCCTGCAGCTAGTCGTTATCTGGCCTTATCGTCACACGGCGCCCAGGCAGGTTGAGAAGTCACGGAGGGGCGGTGAAAGTCGAAGAGTACCCACTACTTACGTATCCAATTCATCTCAATCAATGGTGAGCCTTCTGCATGGTGCCTAGGTGACTTGGCATGGCACGTTCTGACGGTTCGGCGGCACAGTGCACGGGCGTGTTTGAATGAAGGGGTGTGGTACTCGGGGGTTACGTAGCTTCCTTCCCCAGCTGTTGACCCTCACGATACCCGAGCAACCTAGACACTGCGCTTCCGTCCTTGCTCCTGACGTCCACGCCATGTTCCCGTAACCCCATGTCATGCGGCTTCCCGACCACTCCAATCACTTGGCCTATGCAGCACCACCGTTACCCACTCCGCCTGGCGTCCGCATGCCATGAACCCCTCCAATGGCTCCTCGCTGTCCACGTCCAAGAGCAACTCGACACTGCGCCCCCGCACCCGAAGACTGATCTCGGTGGAAGATGACATCTATGCGACGAGTGGAAGTGAGAGCGGACCCAGTAGGGCCACGTCGAGATTGAACTCGCGGAACACATCTCCCACCCCGAATGCACGCACAGGCGGCGCTTCCTCGTCCCGTCTAAACGTCACTTCTGCCCCTTTATCCTCCTTTCAAAGGTCATCGGGCACCTCGACCCCGAAATCACCCTCGCAAACACTTTCCGGCCTATGGGGAAACTCGCTGGCGGCTATTCAGGGCATTGCCGCTACCGTCCTGGCCAGTGACGGTACCTCGGACGAATCTGGAAATACTCGCAGACGTAAACCGGGCCATGGGCGTCGGACGTCGACGAGCGCCCCGCCCCCGAAACACTGGGGTCCTGCAGGCGCAGGCTCGCATGTCGGAGCTGGAACACACGAAGAGAGAGAGGCCATGGTCAGAGCGATGAAGCGCAAAGATCTACTGACCGCCGGTGAGCATCTGGTACCGGACTCTGTCGGCCGCATAAAGCGCAGGA